CACCACCACGACCACTACTACTACCACTACTACTACCACTACTACAACCACTACCACTACCACTGCCACTACCACTACCACTACTGCTACTACTACTGCTGCTGCTGCTGCTGCTACTACTACTACTCCTCCTGCTGCCGCTGCCGCTACTGCAACAACAGTGCTACAACAACTGCAACCACAACAACAACAACAACAACAACTGCTACTACTACTACTGCTACTGCTGCTGCTACTACTACTACTACTACTACTACTACTACTAGCCACTACTACTACTACTACTACTACTACTACTACTAGTACGTCGCACTACTACGACAGGCACTACCACTACCTTTACCACTAGCACTACCAAGACCACCTCCTCTACTTTACAGATACTTAGCATCACTACCAGTATTCCTGCTGTGTCCAGTCACTCATGTCATGCCGTGATCGCGGGCATATTGCGATCTATGCTTGTCGTTACTCTTATGACATTGATTGCTGCTAGATCGGTGCTCGTGGGCCAAAACGGGCACGCCCTGTGATGGCTTCAGGCTTTGCCCTTCTGAATGCATGAACAACGCCGTCCCAGGATGCCCGCCAACCTGCACAGTTGCACGTAGCTGCAAAATGCAAAGACCTGCTGCAGTTCGACCTGCAGTGATGTGGGCATGGGTACATATCACCGAACATTCAGGAAATAGGCGGTGCGACTCCTCTCAAGCTGCCATGTCGCAAGACGGCGACATAGTCGAGGTGGGCATGTCACATCCATTGTCTGTATGTTGCCGCCTTTAACACTGCATTGTATTGCAGTATTGCTTGGGCCGAGAACTGCGCAGGCCAAGCTGCAAAAATGCGACCTCGCTCCCAAAGATCGAAAGCGAATACAGGTAGCGCTTAGCTGCGTAACTTGGATAAAATGCCTGCATTACAAGCAGCTGACTGAGGATGCAGTGAACATGTACTACAACTTGCATGTCAAGCACAACAAGGCCGCCAGTGTAAAGCTGGGGCCAGTCGCATTGCTTGTTCAGCGCACACCCGGGTCAATGAGTCAGCTGGCCTCTAGAAACCCGGAGGACAAGACGCTGGTGGAGCTTGCCAGATGGACCTTGTTTGTCACAGCCTCGAAGTTGACGTTGATGTTAGGAAATATATTCCTAATATGGATGATACTCTTAGTACTCATAATATGTATCAGATTCTCATACCAAGATCACTACCAACATGAAGAGCCCTCTCCCTGTGCCCGCCCTGAGGCCAAGATCCTGAAGAACTCGCTGGATTCCAACCTCGGCCCTCATTGGTAAGCCGGCCCCCGGGTGCAGTGCATCAGATTTTAGCTCTGGGCCTTGGCTTTTGTAGGGCTTAGGGTTCTAAATTAGGGTCCCTCTTGGGGTCCGGTTTTATAAGGGTGCCGTCTTCTACTGGGGGACCTAAAGAGGGACCCTAATTTAGAGAACTACCCATGTAGCTTTGCATGTTCGCTCAGACTTTTCGGCTCGACTTTGCAGCATGCAGCGAGACGAGCCGACACGCAAGTCCCGACAGGGCAGGCCATGGATCCGAGACGTGGGCCTGATCCTGCTAGGGGCTCCTTGGAAGCATCTGCCCGGGTATCTCCACGATCATACTGGTGAAACTGAGCCTCAGCCCTACGCCCTAACCCTTCAACTCCTGGCGCTGAGCTTGCGGCCCGCTGCACACTAGACCAGATCTGGCAAGGATTTCTCGCACCACGTGACCCAGACCCTACGATCCGTGAGTTGGGACTGCTTGAGTTTTGAGGTTCTCAGCCTAATCTTCCGACAGAGTTCTCCTGGCGGAGCGCCCGACTCGATTTGCCAGCGTCCTGCGCATGAGGGTTCTCTGAATTAGGTTCCTCACAGGGGTCCATAATCCAGTCACATCAACTCTACTTCTATTTTCAAGGGTCCAGAAGAATGAAAAAATGAAGTTAAGGGGACCCAGAGAAGAAAGAGAGCCTAGTTAGCCTAGTTACTTCGGAAGAAACCATGCGCACGACCCTGCTTCTCTACTATCTGTCTTCTTCGTGACCTGGGAGCTGACAAGTCTGTCGTACGCTGCATAGATTTCAGTCCCAGGTCGAGGTTGCCTGGTCTCAGAGCACGGGGAGAGAAGGCAGCTTCGCCTGATGGTCCAAAGGGCTCCAGTAGGGTTTGCAATTTTGCTTTTGGGTTTTTAGAGTCCAGTTGTTGTTATAATTTCGAGGGCCAATTGTATTCCTCATGGGATCTCTGTTTGGACGCAGGATCTCACGGCTTCCGCCGCCGTTTGCGGCGCCAGGCCTTATTGGGAAAGCGCGCCATGCTACCCTTGCTGCTAGGGCGAGAATTCCTGCAGAGGTCTTGGGGCCTGCTGTGGCACTACTGGCTGCCGAGGACGCCAGAGGAATCCCTATTTTGGACTCCTAGGAACCTCTAGGCTTTCCACGCCCCTTTAAAGCAAGGACTGGCCGGCCTATAGTGCGCGAGCCGAAGGACCGACGGAAAGCCCTTCTGAACCGCTTGGAGTTTCTGTTCCCCTGCGCTGCAGACAAAGTGCCGATCGACTTGGAGACGTACAAGTCGAAGATTACGAGGTAGACATGCCGGACCTGCCTTGAGTCGAGCGATAGACACTTAAAGGATCATGGGACTTAGTAAGTAGGGTTATAACTAAGGTAACTATACTTATAACCCCAATTAGGGGACTTATAACCTTACTTACTAAGTCCCATGGTCCTCCAAGCACTCGCCTTTGAAGCCTTGGGGCTCTTGCCAGGCTCTTGGGAGAGGTGCCCGTTTACGCCGTGTGGGAGTCTCGGAAGCTTCGCGGGGCGTATCCAAAAAAGCCCAGAGCACCCAATACCCCTTAAATAAGGAAGAGACCTTAAACTATAGGGGCCTTGGTATTGTTATTTAAGGGAAGATACCTTAAACTATAGGGGCCTTAATATTGCTATTTAAGGTATACTCCTTAATTAAGGGTTATTGGGCTCTCTAGGAACCTCCTACATGTGCTGTGCTGAGGACGGACCCATCGGGCTCGCCTGTTTTAGAGCCCGGGCCCTCTCTCTCACCACGCTGCTCTCGGAGCGCTCTTCTGAGATGTGAGCGCTCCGAGGGACGTCGAGCAAAGACTCGGCCGGTTCTACATGGATCCGGATGACGCGCCAGGGCCCTGCCACAGGTTGCGTTAGGGTTTAGGGTTTAGGGTTTAGGGTTGCTGCTCTCACCTGCATGAAGGATTTCACCGCGGATCTGAGGTCTGCGGCTCTGCGGCGAGTGAACACAGGCACTCCACAGCCTTCCTTGAGAAGAGGAGCTTTCTGCCTCGTGCCCAAGGCTCCAAGAACCTCGAGGTCCGAAAGTTGGTTCCAACCCCGGGTCTCTGGCCAGCCGTAACTGCTTCAGAGAAGGGCTCTGCTGCTGCAGCCATGGATCAAAGCGCACATGAGCATCGTCTGAAATGCCGGTATGGGTGCGGTGCCCTAAACCCTAAACCCTAAACGGGTTTCAGTCAAGCGTCTCCTGTTCCGCCGCGCCATTCGTTGATCCCTAATCGCTCTCACAGCCAGCCAAGAGCGCCATCCGAGTCGAACACAAGTTTCGGATGTTCGGATGTTTTTGCTAAGCGAGACCTCCTTCTCCCCCTAGACCTACTTACCCCAACCCCAACCCCTACCCTCATCACCCCTTACTCCTAAAGCCCGTAGTTTCTTTCTTCGCACGTTTTCGGGTGGCCATGCAGCCACGGGGAGATGTTGGAGCAGCTGAAGGGCCGAGCCCAAGAGAAGTTCCTCTTGGAGGTGCCTCCAGGGCAATCTTTTTCAATTAATTTGGGTTCTCTCTTGCCGCTATGATTTGTCGTAATTATCGTAATATTTTCGTAGTTTAGTATTGCAGCATTATAGGGCCCTACTTTTTGGGGTTTAGTGCTTTAGGGGCCCTGTAGGGACCGTATAAGATCCGTGGCTCAGGTCGCAGAGGACGATGTGGTGCTTCGCGCCCGGCCCCAGATCGATGCTGCGAAGGCAACAACCTGGCAAACCCATGTCCCGGTAGAATCAGATGAGAACAGCATCATTTTGTAACGGTATACAGTATCAAAGTAGTGCTATAGCAGTATGACACGAGTAGAACAGCACACAAGAACCACTAGAGTTAGAGTAGCGCAGGACTACCCTAGTAGTATTGTAGCAGTATTGGCTTCATGAAGGAAGACAGTGAAGCTTGGCCCGAGAATCCAAAGCAAGCCGGGCTGTCAGGTCGGGCTGCTGGAGTATGGCCAAGTAGTCCTCGTTCGAGACTTCTCTGACGGGTGGGCGCGGCTACACGAAGACGAGGCAGTTGGCGCAAAACCGCTACGCCCTGGCTTGAGATGGGGAGCTTACTTTTCTTTCCGAAGGCTCTCAGTCGCATGTTGGTTGAGGTGTTGTGCAGTGTGGTCAAGCAGGTATGGGCGAGCAATGTCCTGGCGGAAAGCGAGGCAACTTTTTCAGAAGCGCAGGGCGAGGGATTCTGCGAGCTGAAGCGCATCGCACATTCTGTTTGCAGGATTCTGATGATGATTCCCCGGTGCTTCGCTCCCAGACATGTACGAGTACGCGGGGAAGGTTGTGGCATGTTGTTGCAGCTTTCAGTCTATTTCGAGGTTCGTTCTTGTGGATGGACGGCGTTTCGGTTTGCCACGTTATCTCCACCACTGCAGCACCAACCTTGAGGACAGCCCCTCAACACCTCTCAATGACTCAACCCTTAAGCCCTAAAGCCCCAACTCCGTTGGAACCCACAGACTGGTCTTCGCGCATCACCGCAGGAATGGCAATACAGCGAAGCGCTGCAGTGTGCTGAGGTGCCGGATTGCCCCTGCACTGTGTCCCATGTAGCCTGCATTGCCGAAGGCCAACGGTGTACTTTGGCGGAAGCTTCGAAAAGGTGGAGCCTGCTTGGAGGACTATGGGACTTAGTAAGTATAAGTAAGGTTATAAGTCCCCTAATTTGGGTTATAAGTATAGTTACCTTGCTAAGTCCCATGATCCTTTAAGTGCTTCAGAGCATGTGCCAAGTACCGGCTGTGAGACTGCCGTGGGGCAGGCTTGAGGCCAAAGTCACTTGTCGAACTTGCATGGCTACAGACTCGGCGGTTCCTAGAAAGGCGTCTTGCCGGCCGGTCGTCGGGATGTCAAGGGAAATGATGCTGTCGAGGTTGAGTGGCTGGCATTCGCCGGACGGAACCATCTTTGAGGCCCTCCTTGTTTACTTATCCTGACGTCGATCTTGTGTACCCATAGGCCCCATAGTAGTTCCTTTTTGGGGCTCAGATTTAGAATCCTACTAGGTAATCCCAAAAAGGAACTACTATGGGGCCTACGGGTGACGACTCCTTGAAGATCCTCAGGCACCGCCTTTGCTGCATGAAGACCATCGTGACTTGGACCGTCCCTTGCCGCGTCTGTGCGTTGCCGCGCCCTAAGCCGCAGCATGCCACGGCATGGAAGCGTAATATTGGGGCCTTAATTATTAATTGGAATTTACAAGGAACCCCGGTTCCGTATTATAATTATAGTATTATGTACCCCCCAAACCCTATTCTAACTATTAAGGCCGCTCTGTTACCCGGTTTTGGGCCTTTGCAATCTGAGGCCTCCATGGTGAGGCCAGGCTTTGAGAATCTTCCCTTGTTCCGAGGGTTCCAGGATTCCTACGGCCTCAGGCTTTGGGTTCAGGGTTTAGGGTTTATATGGGTGGTCGTCAAAATTATGGTCCCTTTGGGGTACCCTAAATAATAGGTGCCGCATTATAAGAAGGACCCCAAAAGGGACCATAATTTTGACAACCACCCATACAGGGCCTTTGGGCTGGTGTTTTCTCCTAGTTGGAGTCTTCGTGCATTGTGACCTGCTCCAGGGGAATCGCGCCCAGAATGCTGGAGAGCCTGATACTTCATCATCATGCCAACGGCTTCGAGAAAGTCGCCACTGGGCTTCGGAGCACCATACTTTAATACCTTTTTTGGGGACCTGTTCCTATGAAATAACAGTCTATAGACTTTTTTCTCCCTGGTTACTTCAAAGCCAAGGTCATCTACTTCGACTCTCCAGACGATCCCGGCGAGCAAGAGGCCGTCTCGTACTGTCTTCCAAAGCCTCGAAGCCGACCAGTTCTGCTTGCCACCGCAGCGATAGCCACCAACCCTAAACCCTAAACCCCTAAACCCCTAAACCCTGAACCCTAAACCCTAAACCCTAAACCCCTAAACCCCTAAACCCCTAAACCCTAAACCTGGAGGGGAGCCCCATGCTGTGCCACGGCCTCCATTTTGTCTCGATTCCACCCCCCTCTGCTGATACGCAGGCCATCGCTGCGGTGGAGCAGTTCGCAAAGCCACTCCCAACCGGGCCAGCCGTGCATTCTTTGATGCTTGCTTTGTGCTATATATATATATATACACATACCTTAATTAAATTTAAATATGGATATAAATAAATAAATAAATAAATAAATATATATATATATATATATATCTTATACTATATGTATATATACATATGTATATAAAATATGTATATATATATATAATATGTATATATATATATAATATGTATATATATATATATAATATGTATATATATATATATATTTATACACATATTATCTAGTGCATCAGTGTTGCTGGTATTGCGGTTCATGAAGGGTTTACGAAAAGACTGGTCCGACTGGCAGCAGCGCTGCTCATCACAGTGGATGCTCTGGGTGACCGTCAGTCAGTAGTCTTCTTGCTGCAGCACATGGGTAGTTCTCTAAATCAGGGTCCTTTTTTAGGTCCCCAATATAGTACGGCACCCTTAATAAAAAGGGCCCCATAGAAGGAACCCTGATTTGGAGAATTACCCACATGAGAGTCACCTTCATGTCGCCTACCCTTTGGCAGCTTGCCAGGCCAGTGGGGATGCTCTGCAGGGCCGTTGCCGTTCGCTGCACTGAGGCGAGCCTGTAGCCTAAGCCCTTAACCCTAAACCCCTAAACCCCTAAACCCCTAAACCCCTAAACCCTAAACCCTGTGCCCTCAGCTTTTCAATTGCACTTGGCGCAGGCATGGTGGAGTGAAGTGCGAAGGCCGATCCATGTTGTTGTAGTTGATAATGACCAGGCGGCTGCTACATACCACTGCTGCTGCAGATGGGAGTTTCCGAAAATCAGGGGTACCTTACTTGGGGGTCCTTATAATAAGGATCCTATTATTTAGGGTACTATATTAGGGTCCCTTATTTTCGGAAACCCCCAGATGGTGGTGATGATGATGGTGGTGAGATGGGATTCGGGGACGATGATGGTAATGATCATGCGAGTGAGGTTGCATGCGTGTTTCTGGGAAGACTGGTTGAGTTTGGAGGATGCCAATGGCTGTAGCCTTCTGCTTCGCGTGCCACCAGCTGCTTCAAGTTGCAATCCTAAGCCCTAAACCCTAAACCCTAAACCGTCGAGGAGCTCAAGATACTATTTGCGAGAGGATGAGACGCTTGAGCTGTACCGCCTGTCCCTGAGATCATAGTCGGAGACTCTGGCATGCTCTCTTCAAGGGGCTATAGGACCCTTAAAGGGACCCTTGGGCTTATATAGGGGCTTTATGAGGCTATATAAGAGGTATATAAGGATTATATAATTATATAGGTATTTGGATTAGGGGTCCCTTCTAGGGGTCGCTCCTAGTGTCCCTTAATCTCTGTGTGCGAACTTGCAAAGAAGGCATGCCAGATCTCAGATCAGGTGAGACAGCCCATCTGGATGCAAACATCAAAGACGTCCAGG